AGGACACTTTTTGTTGGCTCTGGTGGCAAAAACATCGACTGGGGGAATTCCCCACTTGCGGAAGAGTGGAAGGAGGTATGTTGGGTTCATCTCCCACTCGTGAAGGCTGAGTCCTGCTCGACTTAGATGGTCTGCCTGCAAGTTCATGTGTCCAGGGATGTGTGTGGCTATGAGGAAAATGTTGTTGGTGATGCAAAGGTTCCACAATTGGATGGCAAGGTTGCAGAGGCGTAGAGAAACAGTGCCTCCTTGCTTGTTGACATAAGAGAGTGCCATGGTGTTGTCCATGAGGACCATGACACATTTTCCCCGATTATAGGTAGGAAGCTGGTGACAGCATGCTGTATTGCCAGCAGTTCCAGGAAGTTTATGTATTGCTTCCTCTTTTGTGTGTCCTATTTGCCTCCAACAGAAAGGCCCATCGTGTGGGCACCCCAGCCCGTCAGGGAAGCATCTGTCGTTAGGGTGACTTGGGGTGAAGGGTGCTCCCTGGAAAAGATTGGAAGGGACAGTCCACCAAACTAAGGAGTCTCGTATGTTGGGAGGAGGGGTTAAGACGGTGGTATGTGCGTTTTTCGTTGTGTTGAAGTTGTGGATAAACCACAGTTGTAGGTGGCGCATTTTCAGTTTTGCGAAGACCAGGACTGACGTAGTCACGGCCATAAGGCCGAGTAGCCTCTGTATCTGGAAGACCGGGACAAAGGGTTGGGTACGGATGACGGTGGCTAGGTGGATTATGTCTGCCGCTCTGTTTTGGGGCAGGTAAGCCATGCATGTTTTGGAATCCATTAGAGCACCGATGTATTGTATCTGCTGGACCGGTTGGAGTTGAGACTTTTGTAGATTGATTTGCAGGCTCAGGTTTTCCAAGAGTACCATTGTCTCGATGTTTGAGACCAGAGTGTCCATGGAGGACGCTACTAGGAGCCAATCATCGATGTACGGGTAGATGGAGATACCCTTGAGACGGAGGAAGGCCGCCACCACAATCATAGTCTTTGTGAAGACTCTTGGGGCGCTTGAAAGGCCAAATGGTAGGGCTGCATATTGGTAATGCTGTTGACCAATTGCGAAGCATAGGTATTGGCGGTGGGAAGGGTGGATAGTGAGGTGGAAGTACGCCTCTTGGAGGTCGAGGGTGGCCATCCAGATGTTTTTCCGGAGAAGTGGCATAATCTGCTGCAAGGACACCATGCAGAAGCCGTGGTAGGTGACATAACAGTTCAGCTCCCTTAGATCTAATATGGGTTGAACGCCTCCATCCCGCTTTGGAACGGTGAAGTATCAGGAATAAAATCCCATCCTATAAAGGTGTGGTGGTACCCGCTCGATGGCTCAATTCTGCAGGAGGACAGAGACCTCGTCTAGGAGAGGCGGGGAAGGGGGTGTGGTGACGATGACTGGAGTGATGGGGTTCTGGTCGAATTGAATATGGTAGCCTTGGGTGACGATGGACAGTACCCATTGGTCTGAAGTAATGTGACACCAGGCATAAAGGAACGGTGACAGACGGGTTTGAACTGACTCAGTAGGAGGGAAGTCAAAAGCCCTGCTTGGAGGACCTTGGTTGTTTGGTGCGTGAGTGCTGTTGTCCAGTTCCGAACTTAGGCTTTTGAAAGGCGGGTCTTTGACCACCGGAAGCCGTATGTGGTCTCCATTGCATGACGACTTGGGGTGCGTCTTTGCCAGGGCCTAGACCAGGTGCGAGGATGATATTGTTGCATCGTGGAGGATGACACTCCGAGAGCGCGAGAGGCCTTTATGCTCTTATCCATATCCTGGAGCATGGTATCGGTCATGCTATTATAGAGACCAAGGCCATCAAAAGAAAGGTCTTCGACATAGGATCTAGTATCTTGTGGAAGATTGGTATTGCGGAGCCAGGAGTGCCTCCTAAGAGCTATTGCTGATGCCATTGTTCTGGAGGACGCATCTAGGGCATGTTTGGAAGTGTTGATCTGCTGTTTCGCCCTCCTTTTGAATGATCCTGGCCACCTGAAGCTTGTCTTCCGGAAGGTGGGTCAGGAGTTCAGAGAACCTTTCCCAGAGAGTATATTGATATCTGCTTATGCAGGCGAGGTAGTTAGTGGTTTTGACCACTAATGCACCTGTGGAATAGAAGCGTCTCCCGAATGCGTCCAACGTTCTACTTTCCCTGTCAGAGGGTGCTAAGTGCATTCGTTTCGACTTGGATGAGGATGTTACGACCACCGAGTTTGGTTGAGGGTGGGAAAATAAAAAATTGGCAACTGTCTCCTGGACTCTGTACATGTGGTCCAGGCGTCTCGTCGACACCGGGGGGTGGGAAGGATCTTCAGCCGGAGGTCGAGACAGAGATGCTGAAGGTCTCGATTTATAAGGTGACCTTGATCTGTGAGCAGAGTAGGTCGAATAGCAATCCCAGTCGGAATAGCCCGCAGGAGTCAGCCAGGGTATGGATGGTGGATAATTACCGTAGAGGTATCTCAATTGGCGTTGATCCCAAGACACCGGTGGTGGGGGGATAAAAACTCTGGGGGGTCGACTTCTGGATCGATCACATCTCGGAGACAAAGGAATGTGCCGCCTTTGTGAATGATCCCTATAAACTCGCTCATCGATATCGACAGTTTTGCCATGCAGACGTGGAGGTTGACTTTGCGTGCTAGTAGAAATGTGTCGATTCCGACCGGTATCGATGTCCGGAGCTTCCGAAACCATCAATGACGATGTTGGAGAAGGAGAGAGGGAAGGCTCTGCACCCATGGGGTGACTTAGGAGCTCCGCATTGTCGATGTCGAAGTAGGGAAGCGCTAGTTGTTGCATAAAGGTAAAGGTTCCCTTGCTCGAAAGCCAGTCGAGTCCGACTCTAGGGTTGCGGTGCTCATCTCCGTTTCAAAGCCAAAGAGCCAGCGCTGTCCGAAGATGTTTCCGTGGTCATGTGGCCGGCATGACTAAACACCCAGGCGCACGGAACGCTGTTCCCTTCCCACCAAAATGGTACCTATTTATCTACTTACAATTTCTTGCTTTCAAACTGCTAGGTTGGCAGGAGCTGGAACTAGAGACGAGAGCTCACTCCATCATGCGGTAATTCGGGTCTCGAACTGAACTACTGACCTTCCACAGCCTGCAGTTCAGCATCTTAACCACTTGAGCCACCGTAGCTCCTAGTTGTTGCATAGGAGAGTCTGAAAGTTGAATGGTAGGTATCAGTGGAGGAGTGTACGTCTCCGATATCGATGGAGCGGGGAGCACTATAGGAGCATCACCCAGTGCGGATGCCGCTACTTTCACCTTCTTTGCCGCTTTGAGGGACTTAGAGGAACCCCTTTTTGCGGGCTTATCCTTACTTGCCTTGGGCCTCTTCTTCACCGGTGTTGAGGCAGAGGATTGCGCCTTCGATACCGGAGGCTTTGGCGCTGGTTGGACGATGTCAGAGGCAGGCCTCGATACCGAAGCCGTCGAGGTCGAAGGTCTCTCGCAGTCCATCGTTGTGGAAGGATGTAGAGCCGATTCAAGTAGCGCCACTTTGAGGCACACGGCTCCTTTTTTTCGGGTTTGGAAAATCTAGCACAGTGCCGGCAAGAGTCAGGTCTGTGAGACTCTCCCAAACACAAAATACAGAGGGTGTGGCGATCAGGCGGTGCAGCCTGTACACCGGTTTAAAAAGTCCCACTTTTTCTCCATAGAACAGGAGAGTAGTAGAGAAAAAAGGGGGAGAGGGGAGGGGGTAGAGCCCGAAGGCCAAGCTGAGGTAACTCGGCAACTTCCTCCCCCCCTCAGGAAAAATAAGTTCTTCTTTTTTTATTTTTTAGTAGGTAACAAAGGATAATCATGAAAAAAGGAGAAAAGTGAGGAAAAAATCCAAAGAGCCGTGAGGTAAATAGCCAAAAATAGTGAACCGATCAGACCGACGGACAAAAAGGTCTTTCAAACGTGGCAGTAAGAAAGGAACTGGCGGGATGTCCGCGCCCACCCCTCTGGGCATGCGCGGTGGGGTTCCCACGCATGCTCGAGGTCTGGGTGCGAAAATCCGTTAAAAAGCTTGCTACAATGCCGATGGATCCAGCGTGTGTGCACTAGATCCCATGGGTGTGAAGCGCAGAGACCACGTCGAAGATCAATTAATTTCAAAAGCCTTCCGGAACAGATATGTTTTCCAGTTACACTGGAAGGCATGCAAAGATGCTGCCTATTGCCTATCATATTTCCAAAGAAAGCAAGTTCTTCAGCTTGGGAAAGGCAACTGACATGAGTCTATTGGAAACCCACATTTCTCCCAGCACATCTCAATAACTTCTAGTAACTGAAAGATATGATGCAATATTTATTTATTTACAGTATAGTCTGCCTTTCTCCTTTGGACTCAAGGCAGATTACACAATATCGAAGGGCCTCTTCTGTTTGAAAACCCCTTGGTTTTTATGATTAAGTAAATAAAAAACGCAGAATTCCTCAGGCAAAAAATGGTCACTGCTGCATTTTTCTAATACCCTTTTTTATTAATCGTAACCCCATTTGACAACACTCTTACTACCTAGGTGTAGAAACTTGGACATATTTGGGCAATTCTTGCACACGGCCCTTCAAGTCTTCAAGCCTCTGGATGCGGTTCATTAGTTTATTAATGTTGTCAGTTATATTTTTATCCGCCACTGGAACTTGCCAATCTGGAATAATTTCTTCCTCACCTAGCTGAAACATAGTTGAATAACAAAGTATTAAATCATCACCTACAGACATTAACTGAACTTTTCACAAAACAGAAAGCCACTTCAAGCACCTTTTATTTCACTTTGCAGATATTATTGTTAAAGCTGCACATTTCTTTACATTATTATCTTTTACATAAGAAGCATACAACTTAAGTATTAATATTTTACAGCAGTATACCCAGGAGATATTTGCAACCCAAACTACCTGCACTAATGCAACAATCCTATACAAACTTACTTCAACTAACTCAGCGGGCCTTATTTCCAAGTAAACATGCGTAGATTCAGCTATAAGATTTATCTATTTGAAAGTCTAAGAGAGCAATCTTAAGAGGGACTGCTCAGAATCCTAGTCAGGTCTATTCAGTGGCGCTTACTCCCAGAAAAGTGTTCGTGGGATTGCACTGTAACAATGTCATCCTAAATAGACTAACACCCTCTAAGTGTTGCGACTTCAGTGGAGTTAAAAGGATGTCACTCGGCTTAGGATTGCACTACCAAACAGGGATGAACACCTGGAGGCTGAGGAGTCAAATCAATGCCAAGCACATAACTATTGGAGGCTGAGGAGTCAAATCAATGCCAAACCCTTTCTCTTAAGCTAACAGCAAGCACATAAATGTTCTTCCACACTGAGAACAATGACAGAGGCTAAACCAGTGCAACTGAACTATATGCCAGGTCACAAGCAAATAACAAGGAGCAGTTGACATGCATAAAAGGGAGAACTCATACTTTGTTGTTGACACTGGGGAAAGGGTCAACCCTGAATTACTGTTGTGAGTGTTTAGGAACAAAATTACAGATCTCCCATTCCTAGTCCTCAACTACTATAATATTTATCATAAAAAGGAACAACTGTCAGAGTCTTGAACAAACTTACAACACTCTCTTGGCAGTGATTTGTTTATTGAGATGAAGATGTTTCAAGTTAAGATGATCTGTGTCAGAACTGACACCCTTGGCACCAGTTCTGGTATTATACATAGTTCAAACAGCCTCCCCCCTTGTAACCAGTTCAGTCACACCACTACATTCAGCCCGCCAAAATCTACTGTGCACAGTTAACCCTCCCCCAGCACCTGCAAGCTTAGTATCTAGCAGTGTCTGGTGTCCAAAGTCAAGCATGCATTCTTCCCAGAGATGGGAGGCCCTGCATAAACACAGTTACAAGCTAAAACAACTTCCAGCAAAGCAGCTTCACACATACACACTCACATGCTCCCAGACTCCCCCTCCCAACCAGAAGAAAACAGGATAAAAAGCATACAAAACCAAAAGAGTTAAGGAAACCATGTCAAACGAGGCCCGAGTTTGACAACAACAATATCTAGAGAAAAATATTTCACATTGTTTTTTGTTGTTCAGTTGCACAGTCGAGTCCGACTCTTTGCGACCCCATGGACCAGATCACGCGATAGTAAATCTGATTTTGGTGTTGCCCATCTGGTGATGTCCATGTGTAGAGTCGCCTCTTAGGTTGTTGGGAAAGGGTGTTCACTATGACCAGTGTGTTCTCTTGACAAAACTCTGTTAACCTTTGGCCTGCTTCATTTTGCTTTCCAAGGCCAAACTTGTCTTGTTATTCCGGTTACCTTTTGACTTCCTACTTTAGCATTCCAGTCCCCTATGATGAGAAGGACATCATTTTTTGGTGTTAGTTCTATGAGGTGTTGTAGGTCTTCATAGAACCGGTCCGCTTCAGCCTCTTCTGCATCAGTGGTTGGGGCATAGACTTGGAATACTGTGATGTTGAATGGTTTGCCTTGGAATCAGACCGAAATCATTCTGTCATTTTTGAGATTGTATCCCAGTACTGACTTTTGCACTCTCTTGTTGACTATAAAGGCCACACCATTTTTTCTACGAGATTCCTGACCACAGGAGTAGATTGTTTCTTCTAACTATTATCACCCAAGAGGTCAGATTTTAGCTTACCTCCTCCAGCATCTGTACCTCCTTTTCAAACCACTAGAAGGGAAAAAAATAATAGCAATCAGCCACTGACTAATTCAAAGGTAAATAGCTTTAAAAAATGGTTTTGAATAACTTCATTTCTTACCTTAAGCAATGATTCTAATATCTGGGAAAGAAAATCAAAATCATTATTTTATTATTTAACATTAACAAGTTTACTTTTATGGATAAATATAACATGAGACTTCCACAGTGAATAAATGTTAACATCACTTGTTCATCACTTGATGACTCCAACTTTAAATGAAAACTTCAATGTGTGAATAAGGTACCCTACATCAAAAACACTTTATCTCACTGAGGGCAAAATAGACATTACATGCAACAATGTTCCAATGCCATCTTTCTTTAAAGAAAAACTCCTTTGGGAAGCTGCGATTCTGAGCAGAGGAGGGCAGGGGAGAAACAGGGGTTTAATCCTTTTCTTGTGGCCATTTTTCCACGGCAAATCAACTCACCACCCCAGAAACATATTTACCCCTATCCCCACACACACAGATTTCTCTACTCAAAATACACCTTCTCCCCAAAGCAGCTTTTCTTTAAAGAAAAAGGGTTTCATTATTTGTGTATAGCATATAGTTTCCCCCTTATATACTCTTTTTCAAAGAAGCCAGTTGGCAAATTCAGCTGTTAGTCATCATGTCATGAGTAACATATGTCTGGATGAGCAGATGTCAACCACAACCACAGGTAAACTGCCAAGCAATTTATAGTGAACCACAGTACCATTCACTGAGGAGCTGGAATTCACCATAACAATTGCTGAGTTCAGATGGGCAGTTTTAGCCATTGCTGTTGCTGTTCCCTTACAGATTTTTAAAGTGCACAATCAGACAGCAACATCTGTCTGTCATGCCGCAGTCACCTGAGTCCCGTTCCACCCCCCTTTGCTGCGTGTTTCTTTGATACCTGAGAAAATCCAGTCCTGTTGATTTGAGCTGGTTTCCTGCTGTCTGATTGGTCTGTTGCACACCCAAGCCATCAGGCAGGTCTGACTTATCTCTTGTTTTCCAGACACCATTTTGTTTTACTAGTTAGCAAGGAGTGCATAACTGTATATACGAACCTCTCTCTTATTTATTCATTCATTCATTCATTCAGATTTTTACCCCACCCTCCCGGTCGAAGCCAGCTTAGGGTGGCTTACATAAAAACAGGTAATTACATTAAAAACATAAGTTGCAATTAAAACAAATTTTAAAATCATACTAAAGTGCTAGTAGTTGTTGGTATTTGTACGACAGTAGCAGCCAATAACCAATGTACAAGATTCTCATCTCACAGTCAGCTCTTAGTGTTCATTTGGAATGTCCTTGCAGGGCTTGCTGTTCTTTAGGCTGTTGATGGCAATTTCCAGAGTCCAGAGTCTCACACACCCCCTCCCCAGGGGCTGCTCAAAACTCTGTTTTCTTCTATAAAAATTCTCAAAGAAAGAAAGCCTTTTTCTGTCCTTTGGGGAAGGGGTAAATTGAAAAGATTAGAGGGAAGACGGCAGTGACCTCCATATCCCAGCAGTCTCAGCAAGCACTTGTGCGCATGCTCAGAAGGCAAACTTTTTAAAAACATGACCGACAGCCCAATGAACTACATATCCCAGCAGGCTGATCAGTGCTTGTGGGCATGCTCCGAGGACAAACTTTTTTAAAAAAAATGGCCGACAGGTTGACTCCCTGCCTGCTGCTGTTTGATCACATAAAAGCTCTTTGAAGCATGCTAAAAGGGGTGAGTCTGATCAGGATTCTCTGTCACAAAATAATCTGGCTCTATTAGAGGTGGGGCAACAGTGGACTGAAGTGCCCCTCTGAACACAGCCAAAGCCACTTCCACCATATTCCTTCAGGCAGGCCCAAAATACCCTCTTCATCCCTTAAGGTTCTGCCACATTCCCATTTGTACTCATTGCAATTATGAACAACTGTGGTTTGTTGATGCTAGAGATGATTGACATGAAGAATTAATTCCACTAATCCACTACATACAATCCACTCATACAATAAATTACCCTAAATACTACTGTAATACATTCAGAAACTTTTAGTTTACCTATAAATAATACAAATTAAATGAATGAGCACTATAAAATAAGACAATGGTTTTCATTCAGTATGTGACTGCTTTGACACAACATTAAAAGTTGGCCAATAGAAACAAAATCTGATTGTGATGGTTTTATGAATATATTATAAAGGTATAACCTGGTATTTTGTTCATGTGTTAACGAAGTAAGCACTGTCCAGTAGCTCCAGAGACTGTGTACACTAGTCTGGTAGGTGAGGTAAAACAATGCCATATAAGTCAGGGGATATGAGAAGTGCATGATTCAAAACCTGAACCACCATACAGAAGGGAAAAGATTAAGGGGATGAAGGACCTTTCCAGTCCACTGAACCAAAGAGAATGGCAGAAGAGATGGTAAAGAAGTAGAGTCTTTCCTTTAATATACATGTATTTGTGCTTTCCTTTAATATACATGTATTTGTGAATAGGCTACCTTGTTCAATTAAGGTGGTATAAGGTGTTACACTAAGGTGGATATTTTCCAAGTACAAAGAGAGTAAATCTAAAAGCAAAAGTTGTTTATAATGTTTAACATTACTTACTTGTTTTTCTTCACGAAGTGCAACATCTAACTGAGTACTAAGTTGTGAGCAATATATCAGGAAACAGACCAAATCTTCACGTCCATGCTTTTTAATGAGAAAATTATTATTATTGTTTTTGTTATTATATCATCGTCATCATCAACTTCATTTCTAGCCTGCCTTTCTCACTGAGACTTCAGGTGGATTACAAAATATGAAAACAAATTTAATCAAATAGCAAAACTGTCTACAGTTTGGCATACCATACTGAAGAAAGGGTTACAAAGGTAGAAGACCCTGAACTGACACTGAATTGCAGTTTTTTTAAAGATGCTTTTTATATAGTATATTCCTGCTTTCTTTCTTTTTTTAATCCCAATATTCTTGAAAAGTATTAATGAGCTCTACAGTAATTTTGGCTCAATTCTATTTATTTTTTCAGTTTCATGCTATTTAGAACTGTTTGCTTTGTAAACAATATATAGAGTAACTGTAATTCTAACAGCTACATCCATCTAAATTCATGATTGTCAATGGGTTAGAAGGGTGTAACCCTCTTTAAGATTGCACTGCAAATAATGAATAGGCAAATTAATTTCCTGTGTAACCCAGTGAATTTTATAAGCATGCAAATTTTTTGTTATAAATACTGGGTGCAATCCCCACAAGTAAAAGGGAAGATGTTGCCCTACCCAACATTTCCCCACATATTCCCCAAAGAGCACTTTGGTTGGGGTCACAACACAGGCTGGTGACCCCGGGCCCCAAGGAGGCCAGGCTTGCGGCAACGAGGGCCAGGTCCTTTTCAGTGGTGGCTCCTATCTGGTGGAATGAGCTCTCAGAGGAGATCAGGGCCCTGCGGGACCTCGTGCAGTTCCGCAGGGCCTGTAAGACCCTTCCGCCAGGCTTTTGAGTAGGAGCCGCCACTGCCACTACCACCAATGCTCCAGTACAGAGCGATACCGCCAGAGGGCCAGGTAACATCCATTTACAGCCCTAGTCCTCCCCTTCTGCTTTGCAAGAGGTAGGGGAGTTTTATCTTTGCATCTGATGATATTGAATTTTATCTGTTTTATCTATGTTATATATTATATGCACTGTGTGCCGTCTGTAAGCCGCCCTGAGCCCATTCGCGGGGAGGGTGGGGTATAAATATAAATAAATAAATAAGTTCAGCCTATCTGCTGTGTTACAAGGGCTAATATGGATTCAGACTCATTGAAAAAGGTGTTAAATGCTGATGGAGCTGTTGGGTTTTTAGACGGACACAATGATTCACAGACAACATCTTATTGCACATGACTCTATGAATTAAGCCAACAGAGCTATAGTACCCACAACTCTTTGTAACTAGGAACATCTCTGAGTTTTCCAGGTTTATCACATTAAGTATCACTATTAGGTAACAATAGACAGTGACTATATGTATCCTAAACTTTATAATTATTTTTATATTCAGTTTCAACTCAAACGCACCAGACTACTTGAAATGATGATAAAATAATTTCTGTATTATCCAAATAAGGGTAACAGTTTAGGAAGAAAATGTGGCATATTCTTCATCATCACAAGACAATGGAAAGCTAAAGCTCTTTAAGCAAACTCAGTTTCTTAGAATATAATACTTTTAATGGCATAAGCGTGCTTAACTCTTGTGTTGGACAGAACTCAAGTAATTAAGGCCTTATGTTGGATAAAATATTATTCATTATAAATATTATAAAACATTTACCATAAATCAGTAAAAATTTCAACACAAATTATCAATACTAAAGCAAGTCATTAATGCCTGGGCATAAAAAGGGCATGAAACAAGCACTGAACAGCCTTTTAAAAATCCACAAAAAGGTCTTCAGACTAAAAAACAATCACAAAAAAACTGGGGGGGGGGGAGAATTAAACCTCTCACTTGAAAGCTTGGGTAAAAAATGTTTTCATCTGATGCCTGAAAGACAGTACGGTCAGTTCTGATGTAACTATGAAAACAGAATTATTGTTGTACATAGCTTCTAACTGGTAAAATTTTTTATCTGTTGTCTTTTTACAAAATATGATGCCCTAGGGCTGCCAAGTGGGGACGGGTAAACCCCCGCTTTGGAGGCCCGATTTCCGCCGCCGCGGAATCAGGCCCTGGGGGAGCTCTATGGTTTTCCCTCCGACGATCATGGCCACGCCCTCAACGTGGTCGATGTTGCATGTCACTTCCTGTGACGTGCTGGCGGCGTGCGTGCGCGCATCCGGGGACGGCTCCCAGAGCCGGCCAAGGCTCCCCCGCCGGTGAGTATTTTGGACTTGGGAACCCTAGCTTTCCCCCTTAAACAATCTTTCCCATCTAATTATGAAATGCCTACTTGTTTAACAATGTACTATAGAATATTTAATATAATTAAAATTTTATTATAAAAATAACATTTCCGTCTTGGACAATAAACATTTATCTTTTCTGATATCAGCAGCTATTCATGATTTATTTACTTATTTATTCAATTTATACCCCGCCCTCCCTGCGAGCAGGCTCCAGGTGGCTTACATTAGCTGGTACGTAGGTACCAATAAAATTCACATAAAATCATTTTTATGTGAGTGCTCTCCCTAAATCACACAGTGGCACATATATGACACATAATACACAGCCATAGCTAGTAGAAATCATGACAACCTCACAAGCAGTATATAAATTATTAACATACAGGTAAGGTTTCTTCTTCCTCTTCTCTCTCTTCCTTAATGTTGTCATCCTTTGTATAGACATGTTCCATTGTTTGTACAATCTGCAGAAAGTTCCAAACCATTTCTGTAAATCTTCATAGCAATATCACCCACTCATCTCACTCTGGAATTCTACAGTTGAAAGGGACCAAAAGCCACCAAGGCAGGGATATCTATCCTACAAGGCCACCAATGGATTCAGCTATGTAATTCTGGGCCCCAATAAGCAAAGCACATAAGCAAAGAGGAGGTGCAGTGTAGATAGGTCATTATAGGGTCAACAGTATCTAATCACCCATTTAAAATAAGAATAAAAGGAACTAAGACATCAAAACTGAATGAAGATAGGAAAACAGAATGAATATCCTACCTGATTTAGATGCACAGTGATATTCTTAAGCATATCCATTTCATCTAGTGTTCTATCTTTATTTACTGATGGAATGTCTATGGAATACTGAGCAATATTTTCTGGTGCATCTGAAGGCATTAAAACCATTGGCTCGATTTCATAATTTAGTTTTCCTTTCTTCTTCAAACCTGAAGGAAAGTGGTCTAATACTGGGGCGGTTTGTAGAAAAGGTTGTTTCACTTGTTTTGTTGACTTCATGGTGGTGGTGGTGATCTTTTCAAAAACAGATTACAAAAGTTTTATTAATCCACACTTAAAAAGCCTCAAACTATCACATTAAATGCATACAATACATTTGTTTCAATCTTTTTTCTCCTTTGTGGAAAATGGTTCTGTTTTCAGGCAACAGATAGTTTATACCTTAATCTTTGTCACCCAGAAGCTGTGTTTAGCTATACTAAATCTTCCCTTTATTTGCAGTTTGACTCCAGCCTTATCAATCAATATCCTTTTAAGGCCCTTTCCAGATTATCAATTTATTGCATAATAAATAGGTAGTTCATTTATTTTGTGAAGGGTCTAGATGTCTTTCATCAAGGTTTCACTTCTTTTACTGGAACATCTTGTTTTCCCTTCATTCAAGCCATAATATATTTTGTTTCTGGAAAACTGTAATCAATCCCATACCCTCACATACACACTGGCCAACTAAGGAAATAGAATGCAGTATTGGATTTACCATGAGTGTTCTTCTACTCTGAAATTTAAAGAGCATTCTGACTGAAGGTAATTCCTCCCTTCGGGTCCGGAGGCAGGGCTAACTATTAACTTCCTGTCTCTACCAGTGGGATGTTACCCTCCTACAAGTTCAAAACTTTGACAGCTAAACATTTTCCTTTCAAAATACAACAGTGCTGAAATACATTACAAAAAAAGGAACTGCCTCTAAGGAGATTCACTAATTACAATAATTATTCATTTAGTCCTAGACTAGATGATAGAGAGACAAGACAGGAAAAAGGAGACTGGGGAGGGACTCCCAATGACACTAGTCAGTGTAATCCCTCTCTTTTAGCTTGATACCCTCACCTCTCCCTCCGTGGACAGGGGAGATAACTCTACACAGCCAATTGCCTCACTTTAAAGAAGAAGATGCTGTAAAGTTGCCTCCATGCTGGAGAGGAGATGGATGGAGGGCAATCGCAGGGTCTCAGTTAATTACTTTCAGCATTCCACAATTAAGGATACATCTGCTCATCAGTCTCCAATCCTGACATATTTATTTCCTTCACTCTGTTTCCCCCCAGAATTCAATCCAAACAAATGGTAACCATTTAAACCAAGCTTGTTATTTCTGTTTCATACTTGAATCTGTTAAACGTCTTCATTATGCTGTATGCTAATTTACTGCTCACCCTCTACCTATATGTGTGGACTGGTTATTTCCATTTCATCATATCTGAAGAAGTGTGTAGTTCCTCCAATCGAACAGTATTTTCAGTTATGTAAGAGGGGCAGCAATTTCTGCCAATTTCCCCCTTCCACTGCAGATCCTATGCGTCCTCTGATTCTCAATAATAAAACTGAGGGGGTGGGACTCAGTAGGCTGCAGCAGGTGGGGAAAGTGAGACAGTCCAACTCCACAAAGTCCACTGATGGTTGGATGCATATCCATTTATGTAGACTGTGTCTTGATGTGCCCTCTTGCTCTGTTGAATCTCACAGGGAAAAGCTGAGAGGTTTATGGAATTCCGTAAGCGACAGTGTAGCAGCTAGAGAACTGGACAAACTGGGGAGACCTGGTTTCAAATCTTCCACAGCCACAAACCTTGGGTGACCATAGGCTAGTCACATGCTCTCAGCACAATCTTCTTTTCAGTGGGTTGTGGAGAAAAAGGTGGGATTAAAATGTAACATAATAAATTGGATACTCCAGTCGATAACTGCCTGAACCACTCACCAGTTCTTAGTGTCATCTACCTCGCAGTGTGCGGGGAACATCTATTACACCCAAGGATGAAATGTGCGTGCACACAACAGCTTATACCCAGAATTAAACTTTGTTGGTGTTAAAGGTGTCACTGAACTCAAACTTCGTGCTATTGCTTCAGAAGTTGTAAGAGCAGATCTCCAGCCACCACCTGGAGGCTGGCAACCCCTGAATCCACCCATGGAGGAAGCACAGGATAACAACGTAATAAGCAAAATTAAAAGGGGCAGGAGATTCTGAAATGTCATGGGGTGGCCAGTTAAAACCTCTTAATTTCGCATACTTCTTGAAGTTGTAAGGGAGGAGAAGAGGTCTGAATTATAAGATAAAAAGAATAAATATTATTTAAAAAAAACAAAATAATTGAGAGGCTGGGAACGATAGTTTAGTTCTCTGATACTGGGGGGGGTGGGGAAAGCGTGAGTGAGGCCTCCAGGTGGGGCCTGGGGATCTCCCGTTTTTATAACTGATCTGCAGCTGACAGAGATCAGCCTCCCCTGGAGAAAAAGGCTGCTTTAGAAGGTGGACTGATCTCCAGCTGACAGAGATCAGCGTCCCCTGGAGAAAAAGGCTGCTTTGGAGGGTGGACTCTGTGGCACTGTCCCATGCTGAGGTCCCTCCCCTCCCCAAACCCTGCCCTCTCCCGGAACCACCCCCAAAGTCTCCTGGTATTTTCCAACCCAGAGCTGGCAACCCCAGCGTGAGGCGTTCTTAAGGCTGAGGTCCTCCGCCTCCACCAGTCACTTCCCTATATAATGTGGCCCCAGATAGGAATTGAAATTGTATGTAAACCGCTCAGAGACCCTTCGGGGTTAGAGCGGTATATAAACTGAATGTTAAATAAATAAAATAAACAAACAGGGCGGGTTTAGAGACCACGTGACCTCGTCCTTCGGACGGCGCTCCATCACAGAAGATTTCGTTTCGAACGGACCCCTTGCTATCCTCCGCTCCCTTCCAGAGACCCACCTATACTACAGCTGGAGCTGCCTGTTTCCCGGTCTGTGCCTCTCGGGTCTCTCAAGGATGTTTCTGGGTTGTTAAATGGCCAAGACGCCTCATCTTCCTCCAGCCCGCGATGTTGATGTCTTGCTGCCGCGCCTTTTGAGGAGGAATGAGCGGCGGGAGGCAACCGGAGACGAGCTTGCGCGCGACCCCGCCCCCTTCTGTGCCGTTAACTGCCGGCTGACTTTCAAATAGAACGGGCGAGCTTCCCTAACGCAGACGCCGGGGAAACGAAGGGGTGGTGCTGTCTGTGTAGCCCCTGTTCGCTTTTACCTCTCTGAGAGAATAAGCCACACTTGGTGGGTAGAGGAGCGAATCCTGTATAATCACAGAGGGGTTTTTGTTGTTTTGTTTTAAACACACGATAACCCTAAATTCCTTTGGAATCAGTGAGATTCAGCTGAAAGGAGAGAGATACTTAAGATGAAGACTCCCTTAAAAATTAACGCGTTTGTTGGGGGCTACATATAAACATATGGAGCTGCGGTGGCTCAAGTGGTTAAGACGCTGAACTGCAGGCTGTGGAAGGTCAGTAGTTCAGCAGTTTGAGACCCAGGTGCCCGCATTCTAGTTCCAGCTCCTGCCAACCTAGCAGTTCGAAAGCAAGAAATTGCAAGTAGATAAATAGGTACTACTTCAGTGGGAAGGTAACAGCACGCCTTGGTGTTTAGTCATGCCAGCCACATGACCACGGAAACGTCTTCGGACAGCGCTGGCTCTTCGGCTTTGAAACGGAGATGAGCACCGCAACCTGGATTCGACTGGCTTTCGAGCAAGGGAACCTTTACCTTTTTTTACATATAAACATTAGTGAGCCAGAGTCCACGAAATCTTATGCTTCAATAAATGGATTAGTCTTCATGGTTTTGGTTACAATTCCAAACAAGTCTTCTCAAAATCCTATTTAGTTGGTTTATTCCCAGGAAAGTGTATTTATGCCTGCACTGTAAGGGATGCAGTCCTACATTTGGATGTCATTCCTAGTGAATCTGCTGAGACATTGGCTGCAATCATACACTAAATAATCTGCTTTCAATCCGCTTTCCAACTGGATTTTGCCAGTTCACACAGTAAAATCCCGTTGGAAAGTGTATTAAAAGTGGATTGTTTAGTGTGTGTGATCACACAGCCTTACTTCCAAGCATGCATCTACTTGACCTTCTGGAGTATTTGGATAATGGTGTACAGCGTCATGCCCTGGTTTTTTAGAAGGATATTATATATCCTGTAGATAGTTCAGTTGCGCTTACTGTCGAGTAACTGAAGCTGTGAGGAACAGGTCTATGCATACGTACTCAGAATTCAGGCTTATCTCCCTAGTAGTAAGGATGCTATTATATCCTTACCTTGCCCATCCTGTCACTGAGGATGTGGGACTGTAATAGCACAAAACCACCACAGGGTTGAGCCAACAAAATAACATACCTGTTCCATTACAAAACACTATATGCCTCCTCAAATTCATCCATATTTTCATAATAACGAAAGAAAGATGAAACCAGAAACTCCTGTTTATTAACCTTATTGTTAATACACTAAGTGCTTGTGTAGAAATGGCAGTGTTTCATGATTACCTGGTAGGGTTGCCAACTCTGGGTTGGGAAATTCCACAAGATTTGGAGGTAGAGTCTGAGGAGGAACCTCAGCAGGGTCAGTCCACCCACCAAGGCTGCCATTTTCTCTAGGAGAACTAATTTCTGTAGTCTGGAGATGTTGTAATTCTGGGAGGCTGACAGGTCCTACCTGGAGGTTCACAACCCTTAATACCCCCATCTGAAGAGTCCTTGAGAAAGGATTGCAGCCTTATTTCCTGACACAGTTTTGAACAGTTTTTAAAACATATGATGAGCCTTTAATAGGAGCATAGCAGGCCAGCATTCCAGAAATGCAGCTATGGCAATACTACGGTGGGGAAAGCTCCCTTTGGGGGATTTCTTCCCATTGTTTAGCTTTCTAAGGCTCTGTCGTGAAACAAAGGTTTTACACGTGCAGTTGTTATAGAGCTGTACTCATATATTGCAACCATATATTGCAAGCAGAAGTGCTATGTCTCTCCTC